CCTGCTCCATTTCCAACTCAGTGGACACATTCATTTATTCACTCAACCAATAGTGATTAAACGTCTCTCTGTGGCAAACACTGTCTTTTGTACTGGGAATGTAACAACGAACAAGAGAGAGAAGGTGTCTACCCTTGGGTGGCTTACATCGCCACGAGGACTACAATTTTAGGTAGTGTAAGCCCCATCTTTAAACCACTTTGGTTGGGGGCTGTTTGTTACGCGGCAAATGCTAACTGATACAGTAATAAGCCAATGTACTGTGATAATGATTTTTGTGAGTGTGCATGAGGGGAAAACTACTTTTGTGGTTGGTAGGTGGGGTCTGGTAAGACTTCTCAGAGGCAGTGACATTTGGACCAGTTTGAAATGACAAGAAAGGAACCACATGAAAGGCACAGGAAACAGCAAGTGCAAACATCCTAAGGTAAGAAGCACAGAAGATCATGGCTGAGAAAGACCTAAGTGACCAGGAAATGCTTCCACTCTTAAGCAGGGGAGGCAGGTGGGTGGGGAAGCGTGCACCCAGGTGCTCATGCTGTTATTATTCATACCTTTCTTCATCGAATTAAATATTTGATAATGGCAGTGTTCAAAAATGATTCAGAATAATTGTTCGAATAGAGAACCCAGTACATATTCATTTGGTTAACTATTTGAATAAGATAAGGAGGGATGGGGGTGCCTCTTTCTTGTCAGTTAACAATATAAATTTTACTTTTTAAAAAAGTCTATTTATTTATTTTGAGAGGGAGAGAGTGCAAGCGAGGGAGGGGCAGAGAGAGGGAGAGAGAGAGAATCCCAAGCAGGCTCCAGGCTCTCAGCGAGGAGCCCGACTCGGGGCTCCAGCCCATAAACCGTGAGATCATGGCCTGAGCAGAAATCAAGAGCTGGCCGCTTGACCAATTGAGCCACGCAGGTGCCCCTTCACATTTTACCTCTTAAAAAGTTACGGGATGAAATACATTTTATAAGATTTAGGATTAAAACAATAAAATCATGGGGGAGGGGGGGTTGTCACTCTGTAAACCATGTTAGCAAAAAGAAAAAGAAAATCCCAAAGACAGAGGCACCTCTTCCCTTCTTTTTTTTTTTTAAATTTCATTATGGAAAATTTAAAATATATACATCAGCAGAGAGAACAGTATAGTAGCCTCCAGTTGTAACAATGATCAACTCAGGGCCAATCTCATTTCATCTCTACCTCCTACCCTCTCTTTTTTTTTTTTCTGGAGTATTTTGACAATAATTTTTTAAGAGAGATTATGGCTATTTATCTTTAAATCTATTTATTTTTAAACCCAGAACCATCGGGCATCTGGGCGGCTCAGTCAGTTGAGCGTCTGACTGCCTGCCACTCAGGTTATGATCTCCTGGTTCACGGGTTCGAGCCCCACATTGGGCTCTGCGCTGACAGCACGGTCTCTCTCTCTCTCTCTCTCTCTCTCTCTCTCTCCCTCGCTCTCTCGGCCCCGCCCCCACTCATGCTGTCTCTGTCTCCCTCAAAATAAATAAATAAACTTCAAAAATAAATAAGTGAATAAATAAAACCAAGGGCCCGGACACCAGATAAACACCCAAAGGTAAAACAGAAAGGAAGACGATGGAAAGGTGACCCCCAGACCGGAAGTGCAGAGATGGGTCGAAGGATTTGGGCTGCGGGGATGTGTTGTCATGGAAACCACAGCACCGGCTTCCGTCAAGAGCGCTTCAAAACTATTTTTAGATCTGCTGGTAATCAGAGTGGCTCCTTGCTTGGAGAGAAATCAGGTGGCTGACTCCACTTAATACACACACACACAGACACACACGCTCACCCACCCACGTACACACACGCGCACACACACACACACACACATATATACATGCACATGTATAATACACATCATTGTACATTTACAAATATATATGTATATATCCCTTTTGATATGTAAAAACAAGCTTAAAATTCTTATCTCTTCAATATTTATCTTTTACTCTTTTGGAATGCCTAATTAACCCATAGCAATCTGCTTCTCTGATTGATTCCTGATGGATACTGCCTAGGCATCTGTGCAGTAAAGGATTAACTCGGCAGGCCTGGGTTGTGCAAACCTGCACATCCCAAAGAACTGACTGGCTCTTGGGGCACCTGGGTGACTCAGTCGGTCACCTGTTGTCCAATTCTTGATTTCAGCTCAGGTCTTGATCTCACAGGTTTGTGGGGTCGAGCCCCGCGTCGGACTCTGCACTGACAGAGCGGAGCCTGCTCGGGATTCTCTCTCTCTCCCCCTCTCTCTCTCTGCCCCTCCACCCACCAAAATAAATAAATAAACTAAAAACAAATCATAGTTGCGAGATTCATCTATAATGTTGTGCATAGTTGTAGATCAGTTTTCTAATCACTTAGTATTCTATGGTGTGAACACGTCACAATTATCTATTCCTCTGTTGTTGGCATTTGGATAGCTTCTAGATTCTACCTATTAGGAAGAGTGTTGCACCCACTGGTTCAACCATCCCAGAACAAACTCCGGGTCGCTGGAAAGAGCCTAAAAGAAGTTTGCTCAACACTGGGGAGGCCCCTGGAAACTCTTGCCGTTACAATAATAATAACAGCTCGCTCTGTGTTAGGACCAAATACACATTTTAACAAAATATCGAATGGCTATTTGGTCACAGGCAAAGATCGCCATTATAGAATAAACTTTAGGGAATATAGGAATAAATCTGAAATTGTATCAAAACTTTTAAATTTGTATCACAATTTTATTTTTTTAATTAAAAATTTTTAAATGTTTATTTATTTTTGAAGGAGAGAGAGAGACAGAGTGTGAGCAGGGGAGGGGCAGAGAGCGAGGGAGACACAGAATCCGAAGCAAGCTCCAGGCTCCGAGCTGTCAGCACAGAGCCCAACACGGGGCTTGAACTCAAGAGCAGTGAGGTCATGACCTGAACCGAAGTCAGATGCTTAACCAGCTGAGCCACCCAGGCGCCCCTATTTTAAGATTGTTGCTCTGTTTTCTTTTCTTTTCTTTTTTAATGTTTATTTATTTTTGAGAGAGAGGGGAAGAGAGAGAGCAAGAGTGGGAGAGGGGCAAAGGAAAGGAAGACAAAATCTGAAGCAGGCTCCAGGCTCTGAACTGTCAGCACAGATCTCGAACTCACGAGCTGCGAGATCATGACCTGAGTGGAAATTGGACGCGTAACCGACTGAGCCACCCAGGCGCCCCCTGTTTTCTTTTATAGTAATGGTTTGTCAATTGTCATTGATTCTCGCCACATTCCACCTCTGCAGTATCTTCGAGTTATTGATTGCTGCCTAATAAGCAATCCTAAGACGTAGTGATGTCGAACAACTGTTTGCTTACACTCATTGACTCTCTGGGTCAGGAATTCACACAGGCTACAGCAGTGATGGCTTGTTTCTGCTACACGGTGGCTGGGTCTCCACCAGGAAAATGTCAATGGTTGGGGAGTGAGTCAAACGTTTGGGAGCTGGAGTCACCTAGAAGTTTCCTTACTCCCCTGTCTGGTGCCTGGGCTGTGATCAGTTGCAGGAGGGGCTAAGCTGGGAATTGTTGACTGGAGCACACACATGTGGCTTCTCCAGCTGGCTTGAGCTTCCTCACAACATGGAAGCCAGAGGAAAGTTGACTTTCCTCCTTGGAGCTCAGCGATCCAAGAATGAGTGTCCCAATGAACAAGGAAAAAGTTGCATGGCCCTTTATAACATAGCCTGAGAAGTCACATGGTTTTCCTTCCATGATACTCTTGGTTCAATCTTTTCCCTTTGACCACACTCGTTATTAGTCAAAGAATTTACAAGCCAGCTCAGATTCAGTAAGAAGGACAGAGATCACCACTTTTCCACAGGAACATCAAAGAATTATGGCCGTGTTTGAAAGCCGCTGCATGATGAAATACATTCATTCTTCAGTTGATTCATAGAACTCCAACAGGTAAAGTGCACGAGCTTTTTAAACTCTAGTTATAGCTTGAGTGTTTATTGGAACGTGATATTCAGATTTAACAATGTGAATGACAGGTCTTTTTTTTTTTTTGGCATGAAACATCATGGGAACTGGGGCAATCACACACATACTGCTACATCAAGGTATCGATCCCACCCAAGTTCAGGGATGCTAGAGATGAGTGGAACACGCATTTTGGCTATTTGGTCTTGCAAAGGCCAGTTCCAAAATGGGATTCAAATAGCATTCAAGTTGAATATTCAGGCCCAAACTGTACTTCAGTGCATGCATCACATATGATATCCCTTCCAGATCAGGGTGGTTTTTATTGATACTCCTTTGGGGAGAAGAGGAAGGAGCTTGGAGAACTCAATATGTCCGAGACTGCACAGCCAGTAAGCAGCATTCTAGATATGTCAGCGAGGGCCTGACCAGGAAACAGCCGCTCTAAGAGTCACTGAGGAGTGTTTCATCAACTAACAACAAAGGTGCTGCCCCTGGGCAGCAAGTTGAGGAAACCAGCAAGGCAAATGAGGCACTATATCCAGGCCTGCAGCGCACGTGTGGGCAGAAGCCGGGAGTTTCTAGAAGTTTCTGGATATTTCCGGAACCTGGGAACTGTAGCCAAAAGAGCTGGCAGGAGCTGTGGTTTTGTTAGAGGACCTCATGGGGGGTTAAAGCTGCCCTTTCCTCTCGCCCTCTGATTTCTGGAGGCTCCCGGAAGGGGGGGGGGGATGGGGGGGTGAACCCAACAGGAAGGCGGAAGACGGGAGGGCTAGTTGGTTGCCATGCTAAAGACAGGGCATTCCACCTCCATCCCCGAGGCCCCCGTTGAATCGAAAAGGATGGAAAGTGCGTCTGGAGGGAAAATCGGAGAATGCGCAGACCCCGGGGTCGGCGAGCTGACCATCCGCTCTCCAGCCGGGCTCCCGTCCCCAGCGCCCCTGCCAGCGGCGGCCGGTTGCCATGGCGACCGCGGGAGCGGCGCGGCCGGGCGGCGCGGGCGCAAGTGCGCAAGCGCGCGCTGCGACGCCGGCCTGGGCTCCGCGCAGCTGCAGGGCTCGAGGCGCCGCGTGACCCGTCCGGGGCCGGAGCGGACGCCGGTTCCTCGGCCCTTTTCGCCGGGAACAGCCGGCCTGGGTGGCCCGAGCTGGCGCCTGGCGAGCGGCTGCCTCCCCGGCGGCCTGTCCTCAGCCCGACCCGACCCGGGAGGCCGGGACGCGAGGCTGCAAGGAGCCCTGCCGGGCGGCCGCCACCCGCGGGGCGGGGCGCGGTTTTCGGCCGGTCGCGGAACACGTGTGAGCACCCGGGGCCCGGTTTGGGGAGGAGGGACCTGGGAAGGCGCGAGGCCCGCCGGGAGGCCCGCCGCGCTGGGGGCAGCAGAGATCCCTGAGCCCGGCCGTCTTCCGGGGAATCTGACCTCCCTCTCCTGTCACTTTACAGGATCAGTATTTGGGGCCCGCTGCAGCCCTCGTCCACCTTATAGACGGTTCGGTGCACGTGGGATTAGAGCCGCCAGGTGCCCGCCACCATGGCCATGAACCTTCTGGAGGACTGGTGCCGGGGTATGGAAGTGGACATCCACAGGTCCCTGTTGGTCACGGGCATCCCAGAGGACTGTGGTCAAGCAGAAATTGAGGAGACCTTGCATGGGGTCCTCTCCCCGCTGGGCCCGTACTTCGTGCTCAATAAGATTTTTCTGAGGGAAGAGAACGCCAAAGCTGCCCTAATTGAGGTGGGAGAGGGTGTGAGTCTCAGGGCCGTACCCCGGGAGTTCCCAGCAAGGGGGGGCGTCTGGAGAGTGGTTTGTAGAGACCCCACCCAGGATGCTGAGTTTTTAAAAAATCTGAATGAGTTCTTAGATGCCGAGGGGCGCACGTGGGAGGATGTGGTCCGCCTGCTCCAGCTCAGCCACCCCCCACGGCCCCAGAATCAGCGCCCGGAGAACTGGGCAGAAGCTTTGGGGGTGCTCCTGGGGACAGTGGTGCAAATCGTCTTCTACATGGATGCCGAGATCCGCAGCCGCGAGGAAGTGAGGGCGCAAGAGGTGACTGATGCCCAGGCCGTAGCAGCTTCAGCTTCAGCATCACGGAGGAAGGTCAAGAAGGAGCCGGGATGGGCTGCAGAAGTAGGGTCTGCTTTGAAGACGGAGAATCCCGACAACTGGCATGACATGGAAGACGAAGGTGACCCCCCCAAACCTCTGGTTCGCAGAGCTGGAGCTAAAAGTCGCTCCAGGAGAAAGAAGCAGAAAAAAAAACCCCAGCAAGAGTCAGTGGCCTGGAAGAAACCCAAAGGCCACCATTCCAAGAGCTCAGCCGCCTTGGAGGATCCCGAGGCCAATGGCGCGGAAAATATGGAGGTCTCAGAAGCTATCAGGAGCAACAGAAAGCCCTGTGTGAAGCAGGAGGAGTCGGCTTTGAAGAAGCCTGCGGGCAAATGTGCCTGGAAGGCTCCCAGCAAGCCATCCCGTGATGCCCAGTCAGAAGCTGTGAGTCCTGGAATTGCTTCCGGGTCAGACCAAGATGGCGGTCAGGAAGGCCCACCAAAGAAGAAGGCCGTGGGCTGGGCCTTGGCAAAGAGCCCTGCCCCCATGAGAAAGAAAAAGAAGGTAAGCTTGGGCCCTGTCTCTTACGTCCTTGTCGATTCGGAAGATGCCAAGAAAAAACCGATGATGGCAAAGAAAGGGCCAGCCGCAAGAGAGGCATCAGTTCAGAAGGCCCCCCGAGGCCCACAGCCCGCGGAGTTGCCAGCCTCGACCTCCCAGGGCCCAGAGGCCGACCCAGAAGGCTCCCCTCGTGCCTCCAGTGGTGAGAACGACCACAGAAGTCATTTGGGGTGCGCCGACAAGTGGATGAGTGGGGAAGAGCCGGAGCGCCGGGTGGGGGCAGGTCAGGGGGTGCATGAGGAGGACCCCAGTGCAGTGGAAGAGGCAGATGAGGTTTTAGAGGGCGAGAGCCCTGACCTCCCTCCTAGGAGCCCCTGAAGGCCAACATGGGGGACACCACGCAGATCCGCCACCTCTCCTTTGTCGGTGACTGTCGCTGTGGTAGTCTCCATTCTGCCACTCCGTCTGACCCAGCTCCCTTAATAAAAACCCAGTGGTTTGGAGTGATAATGATCAATGGGTCGTCAAGGTAGATGGCTTTGAAGGTGGAGTTTTCTGGAGGCCTGGTTGGGGGATAGGAATGTTCAAGCACTGAAAAGGACCAAGGGAGTGAGAAGAAAACACAAATTCCACAGGACACGCACTTCCCCTTTTGAGCTCTTCTAATCCACAGAACCCAGAAAGCTTTGATTTGGAGGACCACCCGTAGCTGGTTAGTTGAAAGACGTCCAAGGAAGAAGTATCACGTTGGGAACAAAAGTTTTTTCTTATTGAGTGAACTTTTGACTCTTAAAGGACCCCGTTTGTAAAGATGTGGCTCTCAGAGGGGAAGTATCCGTGGGCTCTTAGGTGAGAGAGATTAAGGGGGGGAGGTACATTGCTCTGCTCTTTTCTCTGCCACGCCTGCTTTTGCACCTCCCCTTGACTCACCTTCAGAGGTTAGAGGGTCACTAAGATTGGGAAAATTCTAGAACATTTACCTTTACATACACAGGCGGGATCCCTGTTAACATCCATCCGTGTTCTGCCTTTCTTCCTCATTCCCTGCTTTCTGGATGGCCAGCCAACCTCTGCATGCAGGGTCTGGCATATTCTCCCACCTTCTCTGTGTTTCCATCATGGGTAAGTTAAGCTGAGATCGTCCAAGCGGACCTGCCCGCCTTGCTCCTGCTGGTTTTCAGCTTCCATCCTCCAGTTAACTGGCCAGAGGGTGAGAAGGTCCCAAGAGTTAGTTTTAGGGGACTTAGGCCTTGACGTACTTGAGCTTTAGATTCTGTTAATAAAAGTGGTATTTGGATTCCCGTTTAGCGTCTGGCCGTCTCAGGACGCCCATGGGGAGAGGGGGTGATCAGTAGGGAAGGACTCAGGCGCTTCTGGCTTCCCAGCCCCTAATTCCATCCAGCGCCACCAAACTCTGTGTCTTTGGGGCTAAAGACCCTTCTCACGTTGTAATCAGAGAGGGAAAAAATTCTTAAAAACTTGGCTGTTAATTTCTGTCATCCGAATAGACCAACATTCCTTGTCTCCCGTGTGTGTGTGTGTGTGTGTGTGTGTGTGTGTGTGTGGAGGGGGAGGGGGTGGGGTACCTGACACCGTTGGTTTTCAAATAGTGTCCTGGGAGGCCCAAAGCATGCTCGAAGATGTAATCCAAACCTTTTTTTTTTCCGTGTATTTAATTTATTTATTTAATTTATTATTTTTTTGAAAGAGTGTGCGCCCATGCGGGGGAGGGGGAGGGACAGAGGCAGAGAGATTCTTAAGCAGGCTCCACGCCCGGCGCAGAGCCCTATCTCACAACCGTGAGATCATGACCTGAGCTGAAATCAAGTCGTCAGATGCCCAACCAACTGAGCCATCCAGGCTCCCCCATGTGTTGGGAAAAGAAAGAAAAAAAAAAGGTTCTTGCTTCGGCAGCACATATACTTAAAAAAAAAAAAAAAAGCTGGAACTTAAACAGTCGTAAGCCAAACCAGTCACATAGGAGACTATCAGAATATTACCTTGTGTTCATAAGTGAACTTGACTTTGTACAGATCTCCCATGAGTTGTTTCTCCCATGCGTTTGCGTATAATTGAACTTGTAAACGTGGCGGCCGAGAAAGGTCGGAGGTGGGAGAGATTCAGTCACGTGCATGCCCTGTGACGACCTAACCCTCCAGAAGAAGTTTCCCTTTGTAATTCACACGCTCCTGTTAACTTTAGTTGTGTGATAGCACATCCGTGTATTCACCTAATATTGTCACGCGGTTTTAGCCCTTTCTGTGTTCAGGGGCCTCCCTTCTGTTTTTGTGATGGAGAACGTGAGCACTCGTTAGACGTTGTTAGTAATTACGCTTTGAAAATAAATTTCTTCGTAACAGTTAATTTCAAAATCCTGGAGGAGTCTAACTGAAGGTGCAGGGGGAAAAAAAAAAAAGAACCCGGCTTCTATCTGCGGCCCTTCCGCCGTGTGCCTCGAGGCTTTCCTTGGGTTTGTGCAGAACCGAACACAGGAGTGCACTTGCTCTCAAGCTGGGAAAGCCTGTGACTCTCCAGCACCCAGTTTCAAGGGCAGGCCCATTAAGGGCTTCATTGTGTTAACAGATCGACACCATGATGGGTAAATGTAAACATGTATGTTACAAAATAAAGTTTAGCAAATTAAGTAGCTGTTGGCTCTCTTGTAGGCTATGTCCTGGCTTATTTGAGAACAGGGTTCCCCCCCCCACCCCCATCACCAGTGAACTACACACAGCGGCCCAGCCTGGCACGAGCTGTCGTCAGTCCTGTGAGGGTTGTCAGTTTTCCATGACAGAAGATGCCACCGAGGTGTCCTTTCTGCGCTATACCCTTCCACTGACGCGAAAGGATGTCCCGCAGATCTTGGGGGTTTCTAGAAGTTTCGAAAACAGGTAACTGGTGACATGAATTTGTGTGAACATGTTAGTGTATTTTGAAAAGCGGTGGAAGATGAAAACCCTTCCTTCCCCTCCAGACAGAGGCAGGTTTTCAGCTTAAAAATTCAGTTTTCTCCTGCCCAACGCCCTCCCCTGCCAGGGCTTCCTGAACCAGGGTGGCGGCTGCATCAGTCACTGGGGTCTCTGTGAAAAGTACCATTCCTGGGCCCCACCTGCTGATCCGGGGTCGCTTGGAGGTGGCGTTTGTGCTGGGAACCTGTATCCTCGGCAACTTCTCCTGAGAATTCTCATGCACGCCCAGCGGAGCGGAGCTCTGGACGGAGAAGTTTGCACTTGAGGAAAGGGAAGGATCCTTCAGGGGCAAGGTTGGGGGTTTCTGAAAGGTGAAGGGAAGGGTCAGGGAGGGAAGATGCACAGGAGACCGAAGGGGAAGCCAGCCTTTGGGGAAAGGGGATGGGGGGATGAGGCGCCAGGGAGGAGGCACATGGAGACCCGGTAATTGATCTGGTATTGACTGGGTGCACGTTCTCCCTCGGTGCAAAAGCCATATCTGGCCAACAACTTTACCTCCCGAGATGCAGTCAGTTACTCCCTCTAGTTCACCCAGCCCCGCAGCAGAGGCTGAAAGGCTGACACGGCCGGAAGTTGAGGGGACAGCCAGGGATGCCCCCCCCCCCCCGCCCCGTGAGATGCAGGGGAAGTCCGCCACCTGCAAGGAAGCCCCTCAGCCCCTCTCATACGTGGGGGCAGCATCCTGTTCAGGGTCGTGCCTGGGAGCCACTGTGGGGGACCGGAGTGATCCCCAAGAGCCTCTGCATACACAGGCCGAGGCCCCGCAGGCAGCGTCTTCCCTCATCCGTGCTGTCCGCCCAGATGTGGTGGGCATCGACTGTGTGCCAGCCAGGAACAAGACAAAGACTCCCGCCCTCCCGGGCTGGCGTTCTGGTGGGAGGTAGACCGCGCATCCAGGGACACTGACGGTAAGGGGTGGTGGGTATGACGCTGAAACAAAGCGGGAGGGGGGTCCAGGTGAATGAGTGTGTGAGTGAGACAGAGTGTTGCTGTTTCAACGCAGCGGTCAGGGAGGGCGTCTCTGGGGAGGCGATACCCGAGGGAGGTGAGGGAGCCAGAGAGACGGCTGGCTGGTGGAACAGCATCCCAGACCGAGGGAAGAGTCAGCATGAAGGGGGGCAGGAGAATGCTGGTGTGTTTGAGAAAAAACAAGGAGGAGGGAGGTGTGGCCAGAGGGGGTGGCGAGGAGGACAGGAGGAGGTGAGGTCAGGGCCGTTTGGGAGGCTGATCTCTCAGGGATTGTGGGCTTCAGAAAGGGTTAGATTTTGGCTTCAGTCTGGGTGAGTCGGGAGCCATGGAGGTTCTGAGCAGAGGGTCAGGATCACACTTAGGTTTTCACAGGCTGCCTTTGGCTGCTGGTGGGGAATGGGGCTATGGGGTTGGGGGGTGGTGGGGGTGAGGGGAGAGCTGGAAACCCAGTGAGGATGTGACTGCAAGAGTGCTGCTGGCCCGGCTGGGGAACCCCGGAGGCTCTAGAAAGAGCTGCCAGTTATGTTGTTACAGGTCAAGAATAAAGATGTCAACTTACCCATGATCCATTTATCCTTGTTTTTTTCATTTTTAGGTAAAATGCTGCATATACGGTGAAATGCATACTCTTAAGCGAACTCAGTGGTGAGTTTTGACATAAAATTTACCATCTTCACCATTTTCATCTTTATTTTTTATTTTTTTAATGTTTATTTTTGAGAGAGAGAGAGGGAGAGAGAGAATCACAGAATCGGAAGCAGGCTCCAGGCTCTGAGCTGTCAGCACAGAGCCCGATGCGGGGCTCGAACCCACGAACTTCGCGATCATGACCTGCACCAAAGTCAGACGCTTAACCGACTGAGCCACCCAGGCGCCCCCCACCTTCACCGTTTTTTAAGGGTGCAATTCAGTGCTGTCGAGTACGTTCACATTTCTGTGCACCTGTCATCACCACCATCCACTGAGCTCTCTTCATCTTGTAAAATGAAAACTTTACAAACAATAACAGTGACCCCTTGTTCTCCCACCTCCAGCCCCAGCAGCCACCATTCTACTCTCTTTTCTTTCTCTTTCTTTCTTTCTTTCTTTCTTTCTTTCTTTCTTTCTTGAGTTCTGTGCCCACCGTGGGGCTCGAACTCATGACCCCCAGATCAAGAGTCGCGTGTCCCACCGCCATTCTCCTTTCAGTCTCTCCACTCTGACAAGCCTGGGTACTTCCTGTAAGTGGCATCACACAGTGTTGGTCTCTTTGTGACTGGCTTGCTTCTTAGGATAACATCCTCAAGGTTCATCTCTGTTGTAGCCCGTGTCAGAATTTCCTTCTTTCTCACGGTTGAATAAGATGCATTGCGAGTATGCAGCGCATTTTTCATTCATCCCTTCATCCACCGATGGGCATTTGGGTGGCTTCCACCTTTGGGCTGTTGCAAACAGAGCTCCCAAGATCGTGGGCGTACAAATACGTCTTTGAGTCCCTGCTTTCCGTTCTTTGGGGTACGTGCCCTGATGTATCTGCTGGATCATATGGTCGTTCGACTTGTCATATTTTTTTTTTAATTTTTTTTTCAACGTTTATTTATTTTTGGGACAGAGAGAGACAGAGCATGAACGGGGGAGGGGCAGAGAGAGAGGGAGACACAGAATCGGAAACAGGCTCCAGGCTCCGAGCCATCAGCCCAGAGCCCGACGCGGGGCTCGAACTCATGGACCGCCAGATCGTGACCTGGCTGAAGTCGGACGCTTAACCGACTGCGCCACCCAGGCGCCCCTCAACTTGTCATATTTTGAAGAAACGCCCTGTTGGTTCTCATTGGGCTGCCTTGCTTTTAAAATCCCAGCCCAAGCATGCCCTCTACAATGCAGTTATAGAAGCGAGGGAGCTCAGCCACATGGCAGAAACTTCTCCGGCCCATCTACCAACTGCTTCAGTTTCACTGCCGGGATTATGAGGGAACCTGGAACCAATCTTACTGGCACGGTCTGGCATTATAGCTGACTCTGTGCCAATTGTCAGTTGAGGTGTTCTCCCGATACCGCTTTGTGGGAAGGAATGGAAGCAGTTGTCCGGGTTAAAGATTCAACACTGAAAACAAAACAAAACAAAACAAAACTACCATGACTCCTCCAAGCCTCTGGATCGGGTTTAACTTGGGCATTTCCTGTATGTCCTGTGATTGCAGGACAAATGGCTTAACATTTTTACAGATGGGGTAGCCAAGAAAATTCTAGAACAGACAAGGCAAGAGGATGGGCTTGTGGGTTATTAAAAGATATTATACACATATGTTATGAATCCAGAGTCACAGATGAACCAGTAGCACAGGAGAGCAAATCCAGGAAGAAACACATAGATTTGGGG